AGGCAATCATTCCCCTACATCAGTGCTCCAAGTAACTAGGACTACAGGCATATACTAGGAAGCCCAGCTTCTTAAACAGAAAACAGACTGACTGGCTATTTGTTCTTTGAGTATGGCAGATTGCAACTTTTGAGGAATTTCATCTAGGCTACCAAAATTTTGGACACAGAGTTGCATTTTATTATCATCTTAATGTTGATGAGATCTATACCAATATACCCTCTTTCATTTATAATATTAGTAATTTATATGCTCTTTTCTTCTTAGCCTGGATATACTATTATTAATTTTATTGATCATTTCAAGGAACCAGATATTAATTAGGTTCAGTAATTTTTCTCTAAATTTCATGTTTTCAATTTTATTGACTTAATTCAGTGTTTTTAGTCTTGTGCTTACTTTGTGTTGAATTGTTACTATTTTTCTAGTTTCCTAAGGTAAAAACTTACGTTACTAGTTTAGATCGTCTTTCTTAATATATTATGTATTTAATGCTATAACTACTATTTTTACTGCACCTCACCAATTTAGATGTGCTGTTATCATTTTCATTTAGTTAAGGTTTTCTTTCTTTTTATATACAATTTTTATTTAAATTAGAAACAAGCTTGCTTCACATGTCAATCCCAGCTCCCTTTCCCTCCCCTCCTCCCTTGCCCCTCCAATAGATCCCCAGTCCCCACATCATTCCCCAGGGAGGGTGAGGCCCTCCATGGGGGATCTCCATAGTCTGGCATTTCATCCATGTGTCTAGGCTGAGAGAGCATCCCTCTATGTGGAGTGGGCTCCCAAAGTTCATTTGTATGCCATGGTAAATATGGATCTACTACCCAAGACCCCAGACATTGCCGACGCCTCCTCACTGACACCACATTCAGGGGGTCTGGATCAGTCCCATGCTGGCCTCTCGGCCATCAGTCTGGGGTCCAAGAGCTCCCCTTGTCAGGTCATCTGTCTCTGTGGGTTTCACCAGCATGGTCATGACCCCTTTGCTCATCACTCCTCCCTCTCTGTCACTGGGTTCCAGGAGTTCAGTGTTTAGCTGTGGGTGTCTGCCTCTACTTCCATCAGTCGCTGGATGAAGGTTTGGCATTGGAATGTAGGCTGGCACTCCCCTAATTCCTCCCTGACTCATATGTTATTTGAAGTATGCTATTGGTCTGACAAGATGGCTCAGCGAGTAAATATGGTTGCTACCAAGAATAAGGATCCAAGTTCAAGCCCCATGACCCACATGGTAGAAGAAGAGAACTGACTTCCCCAAGTTGTCCTCTGACCTATGTGTATAAACCATGGCACACACAAATAAGTAAATACGTTTTTGTTTGTTTTTAGTAAGAAGAAGGCATATTATGTAACCTAAACATATTTTCAGTCGTCTTTCTTTTATTTATTTACATTTTTAAAGTTCTTTTGCTATGCTGGGCTGCATAAGGCCATTTTTATGAAAGCTTGTAATATATTTTGAGCATGAAGCTATTCTTACCATCATTCCTCTGCAGTCAGGCAATTTCCTTCTTCCATCCTCTGAGTTCTTTCAGTATTTACTTGTTACTTTGATTTTTTTTTTTTTGGTTTAAAATATAGCTAACTTGAGGCTGGGGAGAGATGGCTCCGGGATTAAGAGCATTCATTGTCATTGCAGAAGACTAGGCTTGGTTCTCAGCACCCATGGTTGTGGTGTACAACTGTCCGTAACTCCGGTTCCAAGGGATCCAATATCCTTTTCTGAACTACTGTGGCATGCATGTGATACACATACATACATACAGACGAAACACTAATACAAATAAACTAGATCTTTTTAAAATATGCCTAATGCTGGGTGTTGGTGTATGCCTTTAATCCCAGCACTTGGGAGGCAGAGGCAGGCAGATATCTGTGAGTTCAAGACCAGTCTGGTCTACAGAGCTAGTTCCAGGATATGCTCCAATGCTACACCAGAAAACCCTGTCTTTAAAAACCACAAAAACATAAAATAAAAATAAAAAATAAAAAAGGCCGAAGTACTGGGTGGTAGCAGTGCACGCCTTTAATCCCAGCATTTAGGAGGCAGAGGCAGGCAGATCTCTGAGTTTGAGGCCAGCCTGGTCTACAGTGCAAGTTCCAAGACAGCCAGGACTATACAGGAAACCCTGTCCCAAAAACAAAACAAAAAAGATACACATATATGTCTAAATGTAATTTTGGTATCTTTAGTTTGTTTGGGGGCATTTCTGGATATGCATTTCAGGATATGCAGATATCCTGCATATCAATTATTTATATTACATCATTACAGTGAAATTATAGTTAAGAAGTGTCAACAAAGTAGTTTATAGTTTTTTTTTTTTTTGGTTTCTTTTTTTTTTTTTTTTTTTTTTGGTTTTTACGAGACAGGGTTTCTCTGTATTGTTTTGGAGGCTATCGGTCCAGCTCGGCCTCGAACTCACAGAGATCCGCCTGCCTCTGCCTCCCGAGTGCTGGGATTAAAGGCGTGCGCCACCACCGCCTGGCTAAAGTAGCTTATAGTTGAGGGTCACCACACCATGAGGAACTGTATTAAAGAGTCATAGCAGTAGGAAGGTTGAGAACCACTGATGAGAGGACCATTCTGATGAGACATAGTAAATAAGGCATTTACCTTGAGAACTAATGGCAACTCTCCATCATGATGCTAGTACAGTACTGAAGAGCAGATCAGGCAAATGACTGTTTAAAGAAATAAAGCATATTTAAAGATTCTTTTCCTCAAATATATAGCATCTTATAATAAGCTTGAATTTAAAATATAGATCTCTAGTATTTTGAGGAGGGATTTATATTTTTTTCATTTTCCTTTTAAATTTTGTTTAGTTTATTAGTCTCTGGCACTGGTCTGAATCCAGGATCTTACACCTACTGAACTGCTGATCTACACCCTGAGTCACTGTTCCCCTTCTGGGTAGCAAGAATAATTGAATATATCATTAACATTTTTATTTATTCATCTTTCTCTCATGAGTGGATCAAGCCTAGTGTTATAAAAATATTCAACATCTGTAAGAGGAAAGCACCAACTCACCTACAAAGACAGAAACACCAAAGTAAGAACAGATCTGTCATCAGCAACCCAGATGCTAAGGAGTATGCAGTGATAGATTTCAAGCCCTGAAAGTAGTAACTGCAGGCCAAGATTGCTATGCCCAGATATGCTATTTCTTTAATTAAAGGAAAAATAAATATTTCAAGAACAGCAGAAACTTCAGTTCATGATCACCAAGCCAACACTGCAGAGAAAAAAGAATGTTACACACAAGAGGGAGGAGTGAAATCTGAATCACAAGAGCACAGAAACAATTTCATTAAGGGGGTGATCAAAAAAGAGAAATCCACAAATACTAACAGGAGAAATAAAGAGCCAACATTAACCAAACCAGAAATCAACCAACAAAACTACAGGAATTAGTGGGCATCTCTCAGTAAAACCTTAAAAGTAAATAGCCTCGATCGCCAAAAGAGAGACACAGGCTAGGTTAAAAAAAAATTCTGTCTCCAAGAAACATGCTTTACTTGTAAAGATTGAAAGCCAAAGGATAGGAAACAATCTGCCAAGTGAACATCAGCCCAAAACAAGTTGGTATAGCGTTCTGTTACCTGACAAAATAGACCTCAAACCAAAATTAGTCAGAAGAGATGAAGAAAGGGTAAGAAACTAAGCTAAAGGGAAAGCAAAGAGGGTGACGAACCAGCCAGTGTTGGACAAGGTGTAGAGGAGAGGACAATAAATGAAGGGAATGATTGAGAACAAGGTATATAACATGTATGTCTAACAGTGTCAGAATGAAGCTCATTATTTTGTGTATCTTATAAATAGAGACCATCTTCATTCATTCTTAGATTTATGCAACAAACTTTTTATTGTATGCTCATTATTTTCAAGGTGAGGACAAGCTGTCTGTAGTTTGGTGGAAGTGGCAGGAAACCACCAAAGAATGTAGAGTACTTTATTCATTTTTTTAACGAATTCCCTGAGCATTTCATACATAATATATTTTAATCACTCAAACCCACCCCTAATCGCTTCCCTTCAGCTCCTCCCAAAACTGCACCACCACATTTCCCTCCCAATGTGATCTACTTTTCAGACTTTCTTTGTCCACTTAGTGCTGCTAGTTTGTGCATGGTAAATGGCTATCCCCTGGAGCATGGGCATCCTGTAAGGGCTTGTATCCCTGAAGAAAACCAACACTGCTTCAGTCAAGAGCTTTGAATTGCCTGTAGCTTCTTAGCTGGGCATGGTTGGGACCTCATGGGTCCCTCCCCATCCTGCTGGAATTTGAGCTGGCTTGATCTGGCACTTGAAGTCACAGAACCTATAAGTTCATGTGAACACTTCTTTTAACTTCTCAGTACTTTAATGATTTCATAGATGATCTATATTTCATGTAAAATAGTTTATCTCTGCATTTGAATAAACTTTATAAATAACAATGTCCAAAATGATGTCAACAAACCCTATAGTACTTTGGAAAATAACAATACAGTCCTTGCGCTTCTTAGTCCCCCCCCCCATCCTCCTCCAGCAGTATCTTCAGTTTCTCCAGTACAGCAAATATCTTCCCACTTCAGGAACTTTGCACATGATGTTCTATTTACCTATTTTCTTTTAGTTTGGGAAATCATTAAATGTCATTTCCATTGGAATTGCTGATAAATTTCATAAAAAGCAGTATGTTTGTCTGTTTTATTGTTGTTTTAAAAGTCTATTTGTAAACTTGTGGCTTTTTTTCCTGCTACAACTAGTATAAAAACTAAGATTGGTGCTATCAACATCTCAGCTTTTCATAGTAGAAAAAAAAAGTCTTCATTACATCACCAAGAAGTTTCAAACAACTAACATTTATTTACAGAATTAAAAACTGAAAACCAGATTCTGTCCCAGTCTTTCTTTTTCAGTATAAACCCCTTTTGCAAGTTCATTGCAGAAGGCAAGGTTCCCGAGTAGTTCTCTCTCCCACCACTTTGCCTTTTCATTCTAGGGATTCTTCAGCAAGCGCCTGAAAGGTTCCATCAAGAGGACCAAAAGCCAGTCAAAGCTTGACAGAAACACAAGCTTTCGACTTCCATCCCTTCGCAATGCAGATGACAGGTAGGATACGACTTGTTTAAAACAAAGACATCAGATGCTGGAGTGGATTATTTACTTATTTTGAGATAGTGTCTAAGTATGTAGCTCTAATTGACCTGAGGCTTGCTCTGTAAACCAAGTTGGCTTTGGATTACAGAAACTCAACCGCCTCAGCTCCCCAAATGCTGGGATTAAAGGTGTGCACCCCTTTGCTTAGCATAAAGTGGATTTTGATAAGACTCTTGAACCTTCTATACCTTTGTATCAGTGGCAGAACAAACCAGTACAAAATTTACTTTTTATCTTGCTCATATTGAGACAAGATACAAAATGTTGGCTCAGCAGTCAACCAGTGTAAAATGCATATAAATATAAGAGGATGGGGAGATACAAGTTTTTAAAATCAGATATACTGTTTCTGTAAAGTCAAGTTCTATTGGTTATAGGTAAATTCTTTTTTTTTTTCAATCAGCTCTAAGGGGATAACAGATTATAACTGAAAAATGTTTAGTACTATGCTTGATACATATGATTATCTTATTCAGTCTCTATAATAACCTCATATGATAAATGTATTCTTATGCTTATAGATAAAGAATTTGATACATAGAGATCATTTGGTAAATAGCAAAAATGATACTTTCCCATGGGCATTTTCCTAGCATGCATGCTCTTTGCTACTATACTGTTTGAGTGTGTAGCATAGAAAATTATTCTTGGCAGTTGAGTCACTTGTTGAAGACACATTTTTTAAAGAATTTCAAGAATTTCAGTAGTTAGAACTGCTAAATTAGTAAATTTGCATGTGTAACTCACTAAAGATAATATCCTTTTGAAATCATCGAGTATATATGCTCAAGCACATCTTAATGTCTCACGACGTTCATAGTTTTGGCAATGGAGCTGCTGTGTCAGCGACTCATTGCCATCACCAGTGTTTGCTGAGTGCTCACTGTGCACCAGCTTTTCCATGGACTGCTTTGTGTACTACAACCCTAGGGGCTGCTGTTACCCTCACTTTGTAGTTGAGGAACTGGAGGAAGAGAGACTGAGAAACTGTCCAGAGTTAAGCATCAATCTACTAGAGCTAGATTGAACTTGTTTGTCTTTCATTTTTGATGCTGTTATTTTGCTTGAGAATTTAGGGTTAATTTTTTTCTAGTTACACTGTTTTTTGTCACCTTGATAGATTTGCTAGGCATAGTATTTTCAGTTTTATTTTAGAATTGTTTCCGTATTGAGTTTTATCAAATATTCTTATCTGTGGAGCACATAGAAAACAGTGAAATTTAAGAGTCTGTCTATATGTACCCATAAGGACTGGATTCTACTCTGTATTTGATTGGTAGTAGTTTTCTGTAATGATCTCTCTCTCTGTTGCAAAGAGTTTTCTTTTTTCTTTTTTTTCTTTTTCTTTCTTTCTTTCTTTCTTTTTTTCTTTTTCTTTCTTTCTTTTTTTTTTTTTGGTTTTACGAGACAGGGTTTCTCTGTATTGTTTTGGAGGCTGTTGGTCCAGTCCGGCCTCAAACTCACAGAGATCCGCCTGCCTCTGCCTCCCGAGTGCTGGGATTAAAGGCGTGCGCCACCACCGCCTGGTGCAAAGAGTTTTCTTGATGAGGGGCAAGGACTACAGTTACCTGTTAATTATAAGGACAAATACTTAGAACATAATTAGGGATTATTATGGTTTAGTAAAGTGGTTGTTATCAGTTCTTCTCCAAAATCCATGATTTCACTAGCTCTGGGTAGTTGCCTGGTTGCCAGTACCAGTTTCCTTCTTGCTGAGTGGGTCTTAAGTCCAATTAAAGACCTATTGTTTACTGCTAAGATATATATACATATACATATGTATATATATATACATATATATATATGCTACTACTGTACTCTTAGAGTTATCAAGATGGTAAGAACCAAAGGATCAGGGAGTTTTCTGTGGAACTATGTGTCTTTTATTAAGATCAAACACTACATCCATAACATGTCATTCACATGAGTGCCCAAACATAGGCTGAACAAAGGCAACAACAATAGACATTGGGGGGGATTGTAGGGGGGAGACACCACAAGGCCTCAGCCCTACACAAAGAATTGCAGACAGCTAAGGAATGCTGAGACCAGGAGAAACAGTATTATTCAGTGAAGAGCACATCAATTAGTCATCCTATACCAGATGGTCAGCCCTGAAAACTTACATACATACATACATACATACATACATACATTACATTAGTTACATTATATAAACCAAGCAGGGTGCGTGCGTGCGTGCGTGCGTGTGTGTGTGTGTGTGTGTGTGTGTGTGTGTGTGTGTATGTGTGTGTACAATGAATGAAAAGGAGGTCTTGAAAGAGCAAGGAGGAGTATATAGGAGGGTTAAGAGGGTTTGAAGGGAAAAGAGAAATAATGTGATTATATTATAATCTCAAAAATAAAAGAAAAAAATTTTAGAGAAAGGAAAGGAGGGCCAAAGAGACACCTCAGTGGTTAAGAGCACCAGCTGCTCTTCCAGAGGTCCTGAGTTAATTTTCAGCAATCACATAGTGGCTCACAACCATCTTTAGTGGGACCTGAGTGCCCTCTTCTGGCATAAACCATACATGCAGCTAGAATACTCACAGTCAATCTTTGTTTTGTTTTGTTTTTGTTTTTTTTTAAGAGGGAGAGAGTGGAAAGGAGAAGAAAAAAATAGTTGGACTTAGAATTTACCATGTGGCCATTTTCACATGTTGATTCAGCCAGTCGATGAGTGTGGAGGTCTTTCCATCTTCTAGTATCTTCTTTACTTTTTCCAGTGTTAAATTTTTTTCATTGTAGATACCTTGCATTTCTTTTTTTTTTTTTTTTGGGGTTTGTGTGTTTTTTTATTTTTTATTTATTTATTTTTTATTTTATTTTCCAGTTTAAATTTAGATAAGAAACAAGGTTGCTTCACAAGTCAGTTCCAGGTCCCTCTCCCTTTCCCTCCCCTCCTCCCGTGCCCTCCCCCCAACCCCCCCCCCGTTATCCCCTCATTCCCCCAGGGAGGGTGAGGCCCTCCATGGGGGTTCCATAGTCTGTCATTTCATATAGGGCAGGGCCTAGACCCTTCCCCAAGAGTTCAGGGTGAGAGTGCACCTCACATTGTTCTATGGGAGTCCAAAGTCCTTGTGTATACTTGGGATGGGTACTGATCTGCTGTCCAAGGCTCAATAGATTACCTAGGCCTCCTCACTGACACCCAGATTCAGGGGGTCTTGATCAGTCCCATGCTGGATTCCCAGGCTGATGCCTGGGATTCAAGAGTTAACCTTTGTCTGGTCAGCTGTTTCTGGGGGTTAAACCAGCCCAGTCTTAATCCCTTTGATCATCAGTCCTCCCTCTCTGTTACTGGCTTTCTTGAGTTCAGCTCAGTACTTAACCGAGGGAGTCTGCCTCTTCTTCGATCAGCCACTAAATGAAGTTTCTGTTTCCCAGACCCTCTGGCCATAGGATTGTAGGCTGGCACTCCCCAGATCTATGTCTAAAATCCATATATGAGAGAGTACATGCCATGTTTCTCTTTTTGTGACTTGGTTACCTCACTCAGGATGGTTTCTTCTAGTGTCATCCATTTGCCTGCGAATCTCATGATTCCATTGTTTTTTTCTGCTGAATAGTACTCCATTGTGTAAATGTACCACATTTTCTCTATCCACTCTTCGGTTGAGGGACATCTAGGTTGCTTCCAAGTTCTGGCTATTACAAATAAAGCTGCTATGAACATAGTGGAACAGACATCTTTGTTGTATGAATGGGCATCTTTTGGATATATGCCTAAGAGTGGAGTTGCTGGGTCTTGTGGTAGGTTTAGATACCTTGCATTTCTTTGGTTACATTTATTCAAAGTTTATGGTATTGTTTGGTTTGAAGCAATTGTGAATGAGATTGTTTCTCTGATTTCTTTTTCAGTACATTATTAGTATATAAGACAGCTGCTGGGTTTTGCATGTTAATTTTGGATACTTCAATTTACTAAATGTGTTTAGCATATTTACTTTGTGCTCTCTCTCGCTCTCTCTCTGTGTGTACGTGTGTGTTCATCTCATTGCTTTCTGCATGCATCTTACTTCTTTCTGTCTACTAAAAGAAATGAGTCTTTTGCTTTTCCAAAGCCCTAAGGTACACTGTTATTTATTTGAGAGCTCTGATTGTTTACAGTGTAGGTACTCCTCTTAGGTCTGCTTTTATTGAATCCTATAGGTTCTGGTATGTTGTGTTTTAATTTTTATTCAATCCTGGGGTTATTTTTTCTTCTTGATTTCTTTAATTACCTGCTGATAATTCAAAAGTTTATTATATGATCCTTATGAATTTGTATGCTTTGAAATTCTTATTGATACCTAGTGTAAATTCCATTATGATGACATAGAATACAAAGTCATTTTAATATTTCTGTATTTGATACTATTTGATTTGTGTCTTGTTGTATTGTCCATTTTGGAGAAAGTTCTGTGGACTTCTGAGAAAAGTATTGATTCTTTAATGTTGGGATGGAGTTCTATGGATGTCTGTTAGTCCCATTTGACTTGTGTTATTTAGCTAAATGTTTCCGTTTTATTTTTTTGTCAGGATGTCCTGTCAGTTGGTGAGAGTGGGGTATTGAAATCACCCACTATTATTATGTTTCAGTTAATGTGTGGATTTATATCTAGTATTTGCTTTATGGAATTGGGCACACCCATATTGGGTACATGTTCTAGCTTGGCCAGCACTCTGTTGCTATGAAAAAGAGTAAAGCGTTTATTTCAGCTTTTACTTTATAGTCCATCTCTGACAGAAGCCAGGGTAAGAACTCAAGGTAGGAACCTGGAAGCAATAACTGAAGCAGAAGCCATGGAGGACTGCTACTTACTAGCCTGCTTTCCATTGCTTGCTCAGCCTGCTTTCTTATACTTCCCAGAGGAAATAAACATTCAATATTTAAGGTTATGCATAAAAGTCTGCTTTTTGTCTTAAAAATTACACTAGAAGCTTACCTATTAACGCTCATGAAACTAGAA